CCATCCTCCTCACTGCCTCCCTTGAGGCACTTCTAGACACTGCTCAGGTCCCCTCTCAGCCTTCTCTTCTCCAGGCTCAACAGGCCCAGCTCCCTCAGCCTCTCCTCATAGGGCAGATGTTCCAGGCCCCTGATCATCTTCGTAGCCCTGCGCTGGACTCTCTCCAGCAGCTCCACATCCCTCTTATACTGTGGAGCCCAGAACTGGACACAATACTCCAGATGTGGCCTTCCCAGGGCTGAGTAGAGGGCCAGGATCCCCTCCCTTGACCTGCTGGAGATGCTCTTCTTAACACACCCCAGGATCCCATTGGCCTTCTTGAAGGGACCCACAAAATGATGGAATGGTCAAGGTTGGAAGGGCCCTCTGAAGATCATCCCTGTCACACTCAGACAGTGAAACCCATCCTCTATCCCCCTCAGGATCCATCACAGAGGGCTCAGAGCAGGACCCAGCACCTCCCCAGGGGTCCTTTGGGCTGCCTCCCACAGCCTTTCCCTGCTTCGCTCCCAGGCCCATGTGTCCCAGCCCAGAACAGTCCCAGAGTTTGGGATTTGCAGATGGGACACCCCAGGACACCAGTTCTCCCCACAGGCCATACCTGTGTGCACGGCCCCAGGCTCCATGGGGCCCGTCGGGGTGCCAGCAGAATGGGTGCTGAAGGTCTCTGTGGGCGCTGGAAGGCTCTGGGGACCATGGGTCTCCATGGAGGGCTTGGAGGGAGAAGTTTGTGTGGGAAGGCTGAGGGTGTCCATGAGGAACTGGGTGGGTGCTGGGAGCTTCTGTGTGGTGAGGGGCCCTATGGTGTGTTGGGTTGTTTCTGGGGGTCTTTGTGTGCTAGGGATCTCTGTGGGCCGCTCAGAGGGATGTTTGTAAAGGCTGGAACTGTCCATGCGATCCTGCATGGGATCTGGAAGTCTCTGAGTGCTGGGGTCTTCCATGGTGGGGTGGGTGGGTGCTGGGGGTCTCTGGGTGCTGGAGGTATCCGTGGGAGGCTTGGAGGGGGTGACACGCATGTAAGGGCTGGGGGTCTCCATGGGGGGCTCTCTAGGTACCGGTTCTGTCCAGGTGCTGGAGCCCTCCATGGGGTTCCGTGTGGGTAGCTGGGGGCTCCAGGAGCTGGGGGCTGCTGTGGGGTATTGGATGGGGGCAGGGGGGCTGGGAATGTGGGTGGGTCCTGGGGATCTCTGGGTCCTAGAAGATGCTGTAGGGGCATTGGTGGGTGCTAGGGTTCTCTTGGTGCTGGAGATCTCTGTGGGTGCCGAGGGCCTTTGGGTGCTGGGGGTCTCTGTAGGGTGCTGTATAGAGGCTGTCTCTGTCCAAGCATCAGGAAGCTCTCCAGCTGGACTCTGGGATGGTATAAGCTCTGTTTGGATGCTAGGAGTCCCTGTGGCTGTGGGGTGTTGGGTGGGTGCTGGGGGCTCCTGTGAGCTGCTGAAGACCCTTGTGGGGTGCTGAGAAAAGTCCAGGGGCCTCTGAGAACCAGGGGGCTCTATGGTTGGCCGGAAAGGGTCAGGCCATGTCTGCATGCTGGGGGTCATCACGGGGTGTTGTGTGGGTGCTGGGTGGGTGCTGGGGGTCCCTTTGGGGTACTGGGTGGGTAGTGGGGGGCTCTGGGTGCTGGGGCTCTCTGTAAGGGGATGGATGGATGTCTGGGGTCTTTGAGTGATGGGGATCCCGGTGGGGTGATGTGTAGGTGCTGGAGGGCTCTGGATAATGGACATCTCTGTAGGGGTCTGGATGGGTGCTGGTGGGCTTTGGGTGCTTGGGGGCTCTATGGGGTGCTGCGTGGGTGCTGGGGGGCTCTGGATGATGGATGTCCCTGTAGAGGGCTGGATGGGTGCTGGGGGTGTCTGGGTGCTGGGGGTCTCTGTGGGGTTCAGGGAAGGGTTGCTGGAGGTTGGTCCATGGTGGACTTCAAGGGCAAGGGGCTCAGGGTTAGGAGTTGGGTGCTGAGGTAGGTGGCCTGAGCAGGGCTCTGTGGGGTAAGTAGAGATCCCAGCAGGGCCAGGGTCCAGGTCAGCATCTGGGGAGGGAAGGGACACACAGGTCCATGAGGGCCTCATGTCATGGCCTCCAGTGCCACCCAAGCCTGCTGCCCCAGGGGTTAGGTGAAAAGGATCTGTGCTTGGCCCAGGCTCATACTCTCCTCCTTGTTGTCAGTCCATCCTTTCCTCCATCCTTCCCTCCTGCTCAGTGTCCACCCAGTCATCTCTTCTCCATGTCCTGTAGATTCATCTTCCTGGCCTCCTGGCTACTCATTCATTCGTTCGTTTGTTCATTCATTCATTCGCTCATTCATTCCTGCCTCCATGTTTCTGGCCTCCTGGCTACTCATTCATTCATTCGCTCATTCATTCCTCCATTGATCCCTTTCTGCTCACTGTCTTCTGTCTATCCATCCACCCTTGCTCCTTGCTGTCCATACATCCATCCAGCCCTCCTCTGCCACCTATTTGGCCATCTCTTTGTTCATCCTTCCTTCTCTCTTTCTTGTTGTCGATATGAACATCCATCTGATCCTCTTCCTTGCTAAGTCATCCATTCTTCCATCAGTCCTTTCTTTATCCATCCACCCATCATCCCTTCCTCCAGCCCCCTCTCCAGTTGAACCCTCCTGCTGTCCCTTCCCTATCTAACCATGCACAGTCCTTGCTGTCCTTCCCTCCACCCTCCAGTCATTCTCCACTCCCCTCATGCCCTCTCACACTTCATCTATCTTCTTCCTAAAAATATCTGCTGAGATTTTCCAGTCCAGTTTAGTACCTTCTGGACCCAGGTCTGCTGCAGGACTTGTACTCTGCATGGTACCATCTGGATCCACTTCCACTGCAGGGTATGTGCTCCACAGGCTGCTGTCCGGACCCAGCTTTGCTGCAGGATATGTACTCCTCAAGGTACTGTCTGGACCCAATTCTGCTGCAGGACGTGTACTCCAAGTAGCACCAGCTGGAACTGAGTCCACTGCAGGATGCATGCTCCATGTGGTATCATCTGGATGCAGTTCTGCTGCAAAATGTGTGCTCTGCATGGGATCACTTGAGTCACGTTCTTCTGAAGGATGTGTGCTCCATGTGGTGCCATATGGACCCAATTCTGCTGTAGGGTATGTGCTCTGTATGGTACCATCTGGACGGAGATCTGCTGAAGGATGTGTGCTCTGTGTGGTATCACCTGAACCCAGTTCTGTTTCAGGGAGTGTGCGCTTCATGGTACCATCTGGACTGGGTTCTGCTGTAGGATGTGTGCTCGGCAAGAGCCCATATGGGCCCAGTTCTGTTGCAGGATATGTGCTCCGTGTGGTATCGTCTGGACCTGGTTCTTCTGCAGGATGTGTGCTCCATGTGGTATCATCTGGACCTGGTTCTGCAGGATGTGTGCTCTGTGTGATGTCACCTGGATCCAGTACTACTGAGCCTGGATCCAGAACTACTGAAGGCCGTGTGCTCCGTGTGGTATCATCTGGACCCAGTTCTACTGCAGGAGATGTGTTCTGCATGTTATTGTCTGGACCCAGTGCTACTGAGTCCAGACCTGGTACTACTGAAGGTTGTGTTCTCTGCGTGGCATCATCTGGACCTAGTTCTGTTAAGTTCTGGTTACTCCACGTAATAGCACCTACATCCCATTCAGGCTGGGGCTGGATGCCTTCAGTTTCAGCTGGACCCAGTCCTGTTGGGAGCAACGTGGTGCGGGTTGAACCCTGCCCAGCTCTGGGCCTGGTGCTTGTTGTGGTACCAACCAGATCCTGCCCTGCTTTGGGTTGGGTGGCACCAATGGGATCCTGTCCTGGTGGGTGCTGGATGATTTGCGTGGTACTTGTGAGATCCTGCTCTACCTGAAGTTGGGTGGTAACAACTGGATCCTGTCCTGAGAGGCTCTCAGTGGTACCAATTGGACTCTGTCGTTCTTTGGGCTTCATGTTTAGCCTGGCAGCAATGGGATCCTGTCCTGATGGACGCTGGGTGATCTGGATTACACCAACTGGATACTGTCTCGTTACAGGCTTGGTGCTCGGTGTGGTCCCATGCAAACCATGTCCTGATGGGCTCCTGGTGGTCCGGATAGCACCGGCTGCTTTGGGCCGAGTGATCCGTATGATACCAACAGGATCGCGCCCTGCTTTGGGCCGACTGATGTGGATGGTGCCTACTGGAGCCCGACCTGCTTTGGTCCTGTTGGTGCCAGCTGGATCCCACCCTGCTTTGGACCTAGTGGAACCAGCTGGATCCCGTCCTGCTTTGGACCTGTTGGTGCCAGCTGGATCCCATCCTGCTTTGGACCTGAGGGTGCCGCCTGGTTCACGACCTGATTTGGGCTTGGTGCTCTGGATGACACCAACTGGGTCCTGTTCGGCTTTGAGCCGTGTGATCCTGATGATATTGACTGGATCCCGCCTGCCTTTTCCCTGGGTGGTGCCAACTCGATCCCGCTCTGCAGGGTGCTGGGCACTCAGGGTGGTACCAGTTGCGTCCCATCCTGCTGGCAACTGAGTGCTCCGAGTGCTGCTGGTTGGGGTCTGTCCCACAAGGCGCTGGATGCTCCGAGTGCTGTCTGGAGTGGTGTGGGCAGTCCGGTGCCGGCTGGTTGGCGTCTGTCCTGCAAGGCGCTGGATGCTCCGAGTGCTGCTGGTTGGGGTCTGTCCCGCAACACGCTGAGTGCTTGGGGTGCTACTGGTTGGTGGCAGGGTCCCCAGCGCGGATGGCAGGTCCCTTTGCCCTGCAGTAGATGGAAGGAAAGTTCAGCCCTTGCCCTGGGCTTCCCAATCCCGGGGCCTCTCCATCCAGAACAGCCGCAGTGCCGGGGCCTCATCCTAGCCCCAAGCCTGCTCCCAGAGTGATGCTCCTACCAGGAGCTGTTCAGCACAGGGGGTCCCTGCTATTCTGCAGCTTCAGTGGCCCCTGGTCAGTCCCTCAGAGCCCCTTGCAACCATTCTCCATGCAGGGACACTCAGACCCTGGGAATGGAAACTTGGGGGGCACCCAGGGCCACGGGCCGGGGAAGGGTCCTCGCTATGGGGACAGGGACTGTGGGAGGTGGGAATTGCCTCCCAAGCTGGGGTTCCTGCTGTGGCAGATTCCAGGGGATCCCCACCTTGGCACACGGCGGACGCGTCCTCGTGGTGGTTGCAGTTGTGCCTGCCCCAGGGCTCCGCCGGGCACCGCCGCAGGGCAGGCTCCGTCCCCGTGCAGTTCACCTCGTCCAGCCAAATGGGGCCGGTGCCTGGGCCGTACTGGGCCCTGCCGGGACTCTCCAGGGCTGCCCCGCATCCCAGC